ACTTATTAAGAGAAGATTTCTGAATCTGTATTGTTTCTGAAATCTCAGACTTCCAGTGGTATTCGAGAAACTTAAAATAAATAAATAAAATAAAACATTACAAAATGAAGTAAAATCGAAAACAAAACTTGTACCTGTCCCTGGGCAAGCCAATTTAAAAATTTTTGTAACAGTTTATTCCAAATTAAACAAATGAGCAATTTCATTTGGTGTCTTAGGGATTTTAGCTTGGCGGTTACAGGATCCTTATACAAAGACCAAAAACTCAAGAAAGGAAATAAAAAATGTAATATTTTAAAAAGCATTTTGATCAGTGATTTCATGCAAAATAATATATTTAGCAGGTGTGAAGTTTTCAACAAACTTATTTTTGACTCTGATGAGGCTAAATGTTTTTTCTTCTTTATAGTTTTTAACTATTACACAGTCACTTAAGAACAATAAGAGACAACAAATGACAACATTTTTTTGACATGCTCAACATCTGAGCTACTAGTTTCTCAAATTTCCAAAATTTTTAGTTGAACTTCGGGATCTGACTTTCGATTTCTTGAGAAAAAGTCAGAATAAAGATATTTTGTTTCTTCAATATTTTAAAAGACAATAGTATGAGTTATTCCATGAAAAATTAAAAAAATGGTAAATTTTTTTTACTTGTCATAATAAAATTAATGTATGCTTTTAAAATTGTGTATTTTTAATCCAGCAATTTTTTTTTTCATTTAAAAAAAATTCCAGTTACAGCTGTTGAATACAAGATTTAAGTTGTAATTTATTAACATGAATTATTTTAAGACTTTTTAAACTAGTTTTACTACAAAAATTTAAATTTTTGGCTGCATATTATGTTTTATTAACATTTTAATTCATCATTTAATTCATTTAATTAATCAATTTAATTCATTTAATTAAATTCATTTAAATTCATCAATTTAATTCATTTAATTAAATTTAACTCAGCGGCGCGACAGCCCACAGAGGGCCCATCTCAGTTTTCTTGACCTTTGGGCTCTGGGGTGCAGGAGCAGATGTTCCGGTTAGGTGGTCAGCCAAGCGCGGAACCCCCAGTGTTTAGTTCCCAAGCATGCTTGGTACTCATTTATCGACCCACTGAAGGGATGAAAGGCTGAGTCAACCTTGCCCGGCCCGAGGATCGAACCAGCGACCTGTGGCACGACAGCGCTATCGCTCAGCCACCAGGCGTGTTCTGATAGTATAAAGTACAGCTAATTATATTATTACAAACAGAAAGTATGAGTGGGCAATTGGTTCAAAACCTACAAGCAACATTGATTGCTTGGATATTTATGCTTATTGTTGCCTGTACTCTTCTAAGAAAAACTGCTAAGTTGTTATGCTTGGACAAATTTTTTAAAAATATCTAGACTCTTATCTAGGTATGGCAACAAATTTAACCTTTAGAGTTTGCTCAATTTTGGGTGTTTTTTTTTTTTGTTTTTTGTATAACCACTACCTAGTTTTGCTAAAATTTGATTATTATTTTTACACAAGTAACAATATAGAAATCTTCGACAAAATATTTAATTCTTAGTTTGCAGCCATTAACACAAACACAGTGGCTAAATAATTTTGAAGGGGATATTTCAGTAACAGTAGTTTTTCTCGCCCACTAGAGGGATAATTTCCCTATCATGATTTGTCCTGTCAACAACAATTGCCGAGGTACAAAGTGGATTTTACACTTGCCAATTTAAAAGTTAGAAAAAAAATGTGAGGTTTGACTGAGGGTACCTACAATGTCCTTTGAGTTGGTCCCCTTCTGAGATCTTTTTTTTTTTTTAGTTTCTCACAGGTTTAGTTTCTGACTTAAGTTAACATGACCTAGCAATTATTCTACCACATATAATCATACAGAAATCTTCCTCCAATTACAATCGCCAAAGGGATTTTGAACCTGAATTTTTTTTTTTTAAATGTGTAGAAGTTTGTCTGGCCTCGGCTGCGAGTCCTGTCCTTAAAGTTAAACCTTTTCAGTCATGTTTGTCGCCGAAATTTGATTGTTTTAGGCCAGGTACTGATGTGGAAAATCTTCCTATTCTGGTTAACCTTCCGTTAGTTGCGCACTTGTTTCCGATATGGTTAATCGCGTTGCACCTATGAGGTGTTTCTGATTTTTTGAAAGCCAAATGAAATTTAGTCTAGTTTAAATAGTTAATTGTTACCAATTTAAGACTCTTTAGAGAGATAAATATCAAAAAACTTATTTAGCGAAGTACCGAAGATAAATTTTTCTTGCTCCCGCGTCGGATCTCTTCCTCCATCACAAGATGTTCAACCAATTGACGCAAGAAGGTTGTGCTGTTTTTTACTCCGTAACCATTTTCTGTGAATGTAACTTGACCATTTATACCTGCTACGTTGAGAAGGACAGAAAATGAGATAAAAAATATATATTTAATTCATAAAAATATTATATCCATAATACTTGCGTCAATGGTCGCGCTGCACCAGAGGGGTGATTTGAGCGGTTCCAACTCTCCATCGACATGTTCTAAGGTCGGTTTTACACGGACATTTGAGTAATCCAAAGTTAGGAACATAACATTAGGCTCGACCCCCGGAAAAATCTATTGACGGCAAAGGAGGTGGAAGTGCAGTAGGGATGCACCTGTGAGGTGCGCGCGACTAACGGAAGGTTAACTAACGGCACGGTATCGGACCTTAATATTGACCTATAATTTTTAAATTGGACCACGTATTATATTACAGGG